CACCACCCTCTGGGTGCGTCCCTGGAGCCAGTTTGCCACCTATGTGACCATGCATTTGTCAATGCTGCAGTCCCTCAGCTTGCCCACCAGAATTGGGTGGGACACTGTGTCAAAGGCCTTCTGGAAGTCCAAGAAGATGACATCGACTTCCTCCTTCACATCTAAGCTTTTTGTTACCTGGTCATAGAAAGAGACCAGGTTAGTCAGGCAGGATCGGCCTGGCACAAACCCGTGTTGGTTACCCCTCAACATCACTTCCCCTGCAGGGCTCTCACAAATGTGGCCCTTGATAATTTTTTTTGAGCTGACGTTTTTAAAATGTTTTTAGAGAACTACCTACAATGACTCCAAGGTCTCTTTTCTGAGTCATAACTGCTAGTTCAGAACCCAGCACTGTGTACATATATAACTGAGGTATTTTTTTCCCCATATGCATGACCTTGCATTTGCCAACACTGAAGTTCATATGCCATTTTTTTTTTTGCCTACTCACTTAGCTTTGTGTGGTCTTTCTGCAGTTTTTCTCCATCAGCTTGGCATTTGACTTCCCAAGATAATTTAGCATTAGCTGAAAACTTGGACATTTCACTGTACTCTCCCATTTTCAAATCAACAATGAAAATGTTGAAGAAACCAGGTCCAGCACAGACCCTTGTGGGACTCCACTTCTGACCTCCCTTCATCCTCAACAGTGACCATTTTAGCTCTACCCCTTGCTTCCTCTCTTAACCAGCTCTTAGTCTACAAAAGAACCTTTCCTCCAATCCTTGGAAACCCAGTTTCTCAAAAGCCTCTGGTGAGGAATCATGTCAAAAAGCTCATGTCAACTGGACCCCTTTTGTCCACGTTTGTTAGGACAGCCAAAGAACTCAAGCAGACTGGGGAGGCAGGATTTCCCCCCCGCAAAAAAGCCATGCTGACTCTTCCCCAGTCATATTTCTGTCATATGACTGTTGATTTTATTCTTTATCATAGATTCTACCACTTGCTAGGGATGGAAATAACATCCGTCTTCAGAAAGGGCTCCAGGGGCAATGCTGGGAACTGCAGACCACTGAGTGTTATGTTGGCAACCTGCCAATCCTCTGGCACTGGGGCTATTTGCAACAATAGGTTATATATTATTGCCAACAGTCTTGCAATTTCATATTTGAGTTAGTTAGAATTAGTGGCTATTCTGTAAATCCCTTTGAATCTCACTGACAACACTTTCCTCACTAGGAAAGCCCAGCTCTTGGCATCAAGCACTTAACTCAAAGTAGTTCAGGGGACCTGCTCTCCCAGAATTTTGCTCCCAGTGTCAGCACTATATACAGGGTGGCTTTTCTGATTGATCTGCCTCCTCTCCAATCTCCCTAACTTAGAAAAGGATAGAGATGCCAAGCAAGCACTACCCTCTCATGTGTTTAATGTGTGTGCTCCAAATCTTCCCTGAGGGCCCAGCTACAGAAGCCCTTACACCTAGCAGCTTTTGGCCAGGTTATACAGAAGACATATGTATCTGAATTTATGAATGAGTCCTTGGTACTGCATTTCTGTGAATGCCACAAACCCAAAGCTCACTCTATATTGCCTGCAACTTGGGGAGGACAGCTAATCACAAACAAAACCCTCCGCCTTCAAGCAAGTGGCAGATATGTAAGTAGGAAGGCATCGTATCCCTTGTCAAGAGCAGTAAGCTTTTGGATGTACACAGGACCGCAGTGTTCACGTTATAAACTATGGACCCTATACATCTGGAACCTGACATCATAAGCCCATGAGTAACTAACAACAGGTGTGTGACCTACAGCAAGCCCGCTTTAAGGCAGACAGGCAGGACCCAAGAGGCAGGGAAGCCCTGAATTGGATACTCCTATAGTGGTTAGAAACACTTAAAAGGGGAAGGATGTCTCCTCTCTCCCTCAATGACAGAAGCTGGAAAGGCTTCGACAACACCCAGCAGAGAGGTTTGACCTGTTCTGGTTTGGGGCCATAAAGCCAGAGCTGAGGACAGGGATGAGAAGAGACCTGAAGCTGAGATTATTTTGCTATGCCTGTCTGACAATCTGCATGCCTGCCTCACCCTGCAGTACACAGACACTGGCTCAAGGCTGAGTAACAAGCTAGAACTGCCTCTTCAGCATGGCTACTGTGGAAATTCTGCAGCACCTTTTTCCCTGCTCAAGATGGAAGGGTGTTTACAGTGTTACAATCATGGGAGAAGGCCCTCTGGGTTTCCAGCTGCCTCCAACAAGGGGCTGTGCTCCCTCCAGTGGCTTACTAGCGCGCGCACACGCACGCACGCACGCACGCACACCACTGCTTTGGAGAAGTGGGGAGGGGGAGAAGTGGGGAGGGGGAGGCTGGTGATTTCAGGATCTTTGTAAATACTGTGCTGGTTACAATCAGCTCAGCTATAGTTTCTAACCCTCTTGGTTGTGAAGGAGATTTTTTAAATACAAGCCTTGAGTATGGAAGGAGAACCTGCCCTGAGGGGCAGATTCTACAAGTCATATAATTGTGCAGTACAAGGACCCTGGATATATGTTCAACTCATAGGCAGAAGCTACCATAATACCTCAGCAAGCAGGACAGGTCAGAACCTCTGTAGAAGAAATAAAGCATCTGTCTCCATTAAATAAATCTACCCCTTGATAGTAGCAGACTCTATCCAGTCAATTTTGTCCTTGCTGGAGAGATCAGCTGCCCAGCAGGAGGAGTCAGGATTTATCCAGCTGTCAAATGCTCCAAACAGTCAGGATGCAAAGGCAAGAAAGAAAGTTCCCCCTTTTCCTTCCGTCTCGGTTTGGGCAGGTTGTTTACTAGCTGTTCTCAAAGGGAATTCCAGGCTTCCACCCCAAGCAGCCAATGGTCACCACATCACAGGGATGGGAGGATGACTGAGTGCAAGAAGCAATTTAGAAGGCAGGACAAGGGATCCACTGACAGTAATCCAAACAAAATACTTGGCCTTAGGAGAACTCTGGACCCCAGCCAAGTTGAGCAGCCTTTTCTGATGATCTACCACTCTGAGGGAAACACAGAAAATACTGGCTTCCAACTGCAGAAGCTGGCTCTTCATGGACAGGCACCAGACAGTCCCTTGCCCTCAGTGACTAATGTCCACCTGGAAGTGAGACACGCAGCTGTGTTTCCTACTTGCAGTATAGTTCTCCATGATGAACCATACGCCAGGATCTCACCTTAGCTCTCCCAGCAAGGCTGAAACTAAATTTACACAATTAACCAGCACCTAACAAAAGTAATCATCATCTCCAACTTAGATCTCTGGTGATCTCTTCCACCCACCCCAGGACCTTCCATCTGCCTTCATACCATTTAACAACTCATTAGAATTCCTCTGCACACATCTGCATGTTAAGATGCTTCACAGTGAGACAGATTACTGGAGGCTAGTCTGCCTGAGCACTGAGAGAACTGTTTTTGATTACAGGAATTGCATTGTTAAGCAATTCCCTTGCTATAGCTCACTTCTGCAACTGGCTGGAAAGGGAGAATTACCAGGATGGCATCTCCCCACTCTGGGTTTCAGGTTCCAACTTATACCCTGTATATAACTGAACAGGTATTTCCCCTCCCACTCTTCATACCAAGATTGCAGTTTCCTGGTGACTGCAGGGGCTGTGCAAGCTCTTTACAGGCATAGTCACATGCAAGGGGAATGCTCTAATGCCCCAGGAGTTGAGTTTTGGTCCTGCCTCTGTGCACTGTACTGACAGCTGAGGTTTCCTACTATGTCCATAGACAAGCTTGTGAGACACTGAAGAACCCAACACTGTCAAAAGCAGCTGGTATCTTCCCACTACCCCTGCCCAAGCATACCTCAGAGAAGGGAACCCCATAGAACATGGTTTGGGATGGGGCAGTGACGGAACCAACCCTCAGGGGGTTGGTTTAGTGGGATAAGCCTTGCCCTCCTACTCGGGGCCAAGCACACGCTAGGAGATAAGTGTAATCTTGGATCTTGGTGCAAAGTGCAAAGTGGATCTTGGTACCATCCAGGATATGCCTGGGGACAGCAATGGGGAATTTACCATCAGGGACAGCAACAAGACAGACAAGGCAGCCTCGCTACGTTGAGGATTCAGTCTCCTGCTTCTGTTTTGAGATAAGCTGGGCTTCCTTCAGTGAGAGGTACACCTCTTCCTGTGGGTCGTAGTAATAGAACTTCCGGATGTAGGAGATCAAAGGCCTGTAGAGTGCATGGGCAAAGACTTTCATAGCATATCACAACACAGTCCATGTTTAAAAAAAAGCTACAGCTATGCCTCCTCCTCCCCCTCCATTATTTCCCAAAAGCCAGCTCTGCCCCTGCTGTCTGGATGAGAAAAGTTGCCCGCAACCAGGGACATCTGACCTCCTCTGACAGATCTGATGCTTTGCATTTTTGGGCCACCCACCACTCCTGTATGTTCTGCTGTTGCTAACTCCAACCCCAGAGGCCATTTTGCCTACTGTCTCCTCTCTAACAGCATGGTACCTCAACAAGCAGCAAAGTGCCCCTCCCCAAGGGTCCCTCCCTTCCTGCTCTGATCATGGCTGGCTTTACAGCTTTCATTTTTTATACCAATTTAAGAGCACAGGACTGGGCATTAAGATTCTACACTGACAAATAGAGAAGCTCCCCCACCCCTGGCCCCTGAGACATACTTAGGCAGTGGGAGCTCTGGAATGTGATCTATGCGGACGAGCTGCCGAATGCGGAAGCGGCAAAGGTGCTGGAGGGATTTGACATTGCTGAACCTGGAAACAGGATACAGGAGCTGGACTGGAGTTGGAGGGAGACCTGATAAAGAACAGGAGATGATGGTAACTTGTTTATCATACGTAGAAATACAATGGCTTCAAAAAACCCAGAAAGGGGTAAACCAGCTGTAGTGAAATGAGAGATCTGGGTAAAGCAACATGTTGTGGGGCAGGCAGCTGCTTCTCTTCCCTGCTGCAGGATCTCAAGGCATGCTGTGCAGGAAAGGATGCCTTTTCTCAATCTCTGGGAGCCTCCCCAGATTTACTTATGAATAATCCCCTCTGACTAATGCCAAACCCATTACGATCATTTTTAGCAGGGAAGCAGATATTGGGATTCAGCAAAGCTCCCAACAGAGCCCTCTGAGAACAATCAGCAGACAGAGCATCATTTTACAAAAGAGAGCAATGGGCCTCTGAAATCCATCAGATTTTAGGCATACTGGAAAACAGTGAGGAAAGGGGAGCAGGGAAGCTGACACAGGCTTTGCTCTGTATAAAGCTTTTGGTAGCTGGATGGGAACATTAACAGGGCAGACTGGGATGGGAGGCAGATGCTCCCTGACATTAGAAGGTTAGGTGTAAAGAGGGGCAATACTCAACCCCCACGTGTAGGAAGCATATTACTGTACTTGGCCCCAGTCTGGCCCATGCACAGACATTCGAGCCTGCTCTGGAGATGCAGTTGCCTCAAATTCCCTCCTCCCCACTCCAAAAGCCAAGGGCAACAACCGAAGCCTAGAACTGAGGGTAGGGCAACAGCACTTGGGCAGCTCCATGGGAGCCCAATTCACGGTGCGCACAGTGCCTGGTCTGTTTTTGAAGAGGGATTCAGGGCTAGTTCTACTCTAGCCTCCCTCCTACTGGCAGGAAGCTTTCTGCCTGCATCCCTCAGAAGCTTTAGAGTCGAGTGAAAGGATTTAAAGAAAGAGCAGGGAAGCTCTTCACATAGAGGCAGACTCCAATCTGCTCCAGGCAGCACAGGGAGCCCAGAGCCAGCTTTTGAGAAAGCAAAGAAAAAAGGAATCAATTGAAGACTAGGACCATCATCCCTCCTCCACCCCAAAGAGGAATAAACCTCTGGAAGCTCGGCCAGGAATGCCAGAGACACAGCAAGAGTTTTGCATGCTGTGCTAGCCATATGTCTCCCTGCCAGCAGCCAGCCACACTGGAAGCCACCCCTATCTCCCCCCAACACCAGGGAGTTAGCAGCATTTTAGCTGCACTACAGCATTAATGAGGACATGGAGATGTGGATCCAAAATATTCTTCCACTGAAAAAGCCCATGCCTGACAGACCACACTATAAGGGGGCTTTGCATTACAGGTAACTCCCACCAGGGCATGGTGAGCTCTCAGACCAAATGACACTTCATGGCTGGTTTGGCAGTTCTAGAGCCAGGCACTAATCCCCATGCAGAGTGAAGTGTTCATTTATTTTCTAGAACTTTTCTTATTAGAAGCAAGTGGATCTGATAAGCTATTCTCCATGAAAGCTAGGAAAACCTGCACTGCTGTGCACTTTGGGAGAAAAAATACAAGAAAAGAACTGGCAGTTACAAAGAAAGCATTTTGGAGGCTAAAGCACACAACAATAAGGGCACATATTAAGGGTTTGTGAAATGGCCACTGCCACCACCACTACCCCAAGCATAATGTGTGCATACACATTTCAAATTAACTCCACCTCCCTCCGCCCCCATTTTTGCTCAGCCAAACTCTACATAGCCTTGGAGCATACACCAGGCAAGGACTCTAGTCTGGAGTGAAAAACAAAATGCCCTGTCACCAACAGTATGTGCAACCTTGGACAAGTCACTCAATCACACTGTGCCTCAAAGACTCACCTGTAAAATAGGGATATCATGGTCTCTCCCATCCTTTGCCTGTTTAGATGGAAGGCTCGTCAGGGTGGGGACCACCTCAGTGTGGCTGAGGCACAACAGGGTCCCAATCTCAGTCAGGTGCTGCTAAGGTACACGTGGTAAATTCTCTCCCCATAACAATGCTACAAAGCTTATCTGATCACCCCGTCGCTAGGTACAGCCTGAAGCAGAGGACAGAGCACTTTTGCACCTGCCTATGCCCATGTGCTCAAAGATGACCAGGCAGGATATTCTCCTTCCCTGAAATCTTAGTGTCACTGCGCACCTCCTTCATAAAATTCTTTTTTCCACTACTATCCTCCCCCCTACATTTCAAAACCAGCTATGCTTTTGTGTGGGGCAAAAGTAATTCCCTCCTATCACCTTGGATTTAGCCCACCAGCTTCTACATATGTCAGAGGAGGAAGGTGCTGGTGACAGAACATATGCATGCAAGCTCTCGTCATGCTGAATTAAGCAGCAAAGAAAAGAGAGCATGCACAAGGAGCTGAGCTTTGACAGGGTGGAATCGTGGAGTGCTTGCATGACAGGGCACCATAAAGCATGCACTGGTAAAACCTCATCAATGCTCCCTTTGTGCTCACAAGCACCTGCCTGTTAATGTGCTCTGGCACTGCTTACCCCCACAAGGTTCAATCTACAGTAGCTAGTGCTTGAGACTCATGTTCAGCCTTCTGCCTGGAAGCCTTCTTGTATATACACACAGCTTAACGTCACTCTCTTTCACTCTCCCTTTCAGGAGTCTCAGGAGGGTGGGAGCTACAGGAGAATGGACAAGTGCAGAGTGCGGAGCTGCCTGCAAGGACAGTGCTGAGACTAGGGGAAGCAACGTTTTAATAAGCATTTAACTGAATGCAGAAGAGGCAGATCCCAACACAGTGCACGCAGCCATGTTCACAGTAAGCATGGAGATCTTCCATACTCATCAGGCTGTCTATTAAAAAAAATGTCTAATGCTATAGGGTTAAGAGTGCAGCGGTCTGACAGTTGCAGAGATCTCCTTTGCAGGGGCAGTTAAAAGCCAGAGTGCTAAGAACGCTCATCAGGGTAGAGCAATCAGAGTGCTAGCTAAGAAGTGGGATAAGAGGGCACTGCAGATGAGGCACATGCACACACACACCACATAGGGTTAATAAAGCTTAAAGGGTTAGACTCACCTGGAACCCTGGATCGCAAGAAGTAAAGGAACTTCCCATTTTTTGAGTGCATGATTGCTCTCTTAATGAACTCTACCACAGACTGACAGCGGTCCTCAAATTTGGGGTGACACCACAGGCTGAAGGTTCCTTCCAAAGAGATAGAAAGAAGGTGTTTTGTATTACAAGGCCACAGGAGAAGAAGATGAGATCACTTAGTAAGCAGAGTGGCCAACTCAGGTTCCCAAAAGGGGAGATCACCAACTTGACTCAAGCATAAGCACTACTATGATGTCTGCCAGCATTTGCAGACAACCAGCCCATGCACCTCAGTGGGGTGTTAACTCCATCTGGGTCAGACCACAGGTCCACCTAACCCCATGTCCCATCTCACCTAGTGGCAGAGTATAGATAAGGGGGAAGAGATTTTATGCAACGCCTATCCAGACTGAACCTCCCCTGCCCCTCTTCCCTTTCAGCTTCCAGATGCCTAGGAGGTCCTAATTTGTAGCCTGTAAGCTTATGGTCATGTTTCTTACCTAGGGCTATCCTGCATGAACGTGTCCAGTTTCACAACATACTGCACTGAAAGTTCCCAACAGTGCCAGCCTTGAAGAACAATCCACCCAAACCTATGGCAACATGCTGGGATACAACCTCAGGAGACCCTTCCTGCTCTCAGGGACCATCACCCTCCATGTGGGGATGGCCTTGCACACAGGGGGGTGTGTTGACAGGACCCTTAACATAGCCCTCCCACAGATGTATTAACAGGAGGTCCCATGTTGCCCCACCACTCAATACCAACAAGCAAGCAATGAAACCGAGAAGCAGCAATACATAAAGCATCCTTCCCCTCACATATGACTGCACAGGTTAATTTAAACCCAAGAAACCAGTTTAGGCCTCATGAGCTTTTTTCCTACAACCAGATCAACTCCTCCTCCCCACCAAAAAAGCTGATCTATCTGTCTTCTGCTTTTTGGAGCTGTGTCTATACATCCTACACTGGCTGGCTGCCTGCCCTGCTCAGCCTGTAACCTGAGGCCAGGGCAAAGAGGAGATCTAGTAATCTAAGAGCAACTGTGAGAACCTAGAAATACCCCAGCAGGGAAAACACCCTAAGCAGGGAAAACACCCTTGACAGAATATGAACATAGGTGATGGTTCCCATCTTGACTTTGATGGCCAAGGCTGCACCAGACACTGTTGGGCAAGCATCTGTGAGCAAGAGTCTTATGCTGTAAACCCCAAAGACAGACATGTTTCCACCAGCACAGAGCAGGGCCTGCAATGCTGCAATCTGAACCAGTAAATTACTTGAGTGCAACCTGCTTTACATAGGACAGAGCATTTATACCAGGTGCTAGTAGGGGTGCACCTAAATTATCTCAGGACACCTCTCTGCATATGAGAGTTATTGAGGACCATGGAGCTGACAACCCCTAAAAGTACTGCATTAAGCCACATGTCTTGTGACATCACACTGCTATGGAAAATGCACAGGAGAGCTCAATTATGCTTGCACGTTGCTGAGAACTCTAAGTTCTTGCATAGAATGTAGGCTACAAGCTCCAGAAACACTCAAAGACCTCTGGACTCTGCACATTTTTAAGTGAATTTGCCTATACATGCATCTGGATTATACCTCAATACAATCACTGAAATTAGGGACTGACAATGGGAAGCAATGACCAACACCAGGGAGAGAAGACCTACACATTCCCACTCAACAGCTCTGAAGGGCTTCAAAGCCAGCAGCAGTAGATCAGCACAGCACATCTGATAAAAAGCCCTGCTGGTCAGCACCACAGGGACAGGGAAAAAAAAGCAAGCAGAGAAGCTTCCAAGAAGAATTTATTTCCTGCCTTTTCACCTACCTGAAATCTGAAGGTCAAACATTTATCTATTTACCATTCTCCCAGCCCAGTCATTTGTCATTTTCATTAGTTTATCAAAGTGCTCAGCTCTGCAATTTTCAAAACAGCTGTACCACATTCAGCAGGAGACATAGGCAATCCCAACATGAGCGTAAAGATAGCTAACTCAAGCCTTTGCACAGGGGTTTTGGAAGGAAATAATGTCCCCTTAATTGTGCTGGAAAACTGCCTGTTGGGGTATCAAGGCAGCTTTGAGCTCCAATTTATGCTGCCAAGAAGTGCCAGAAAGCAGGGCATTCTACTCCAAACACTGACATAAGAAATCAGTAGCATCTTCAGAGACATTCAAGAGCTCAAGCACCATTTTCCAAAAGGGCACAAATCTAAGTCCTACTGATGTCCAATGAAAGTGGCCCTAATATCTGGTCAGTTTTGAAAGCAGAACTTGATGCTTCTGAAACTTTAATTTATGACCCTGGAGAGTTTATAATCCAAGGCCTGAAAACCTGCAATACTCAATTATAACCATGAGCAATCCCACTTATATTCCTACTGTTATTCGTGCACTCTACTGACTCAATGTCTGAAGCTAGTTACTTGCAAAGGATGGATGAGAGGCAGAGGTAATCCAAAGATGTACATTTACCATTATTAGTAGCTGGGTCACCAGCTAATGTGCAGTGACACTGCTTTGCAAGAAACTATGGCCCTCTGAGTACAAGGCTCCACAAGGAATTAGAAGATCCCTGACTGCTAAGGCATCATAGGTGCTCAGGAATCTACAGTGGACAGCTGCCAGTTTGCTACAGGAAAATAAGACTGTTTTGATGGTGCTATCCCTGAAAAGCAAGAGAGTCAGGCATTCTGCTAACCTCACAATCACACTGTGAAGGCAGGTCATCAATACAAAAATACCATATTTGAAGCCAACTCAGAATATGTGCATGTAGGGACAGAGAAGTACATTCTAGTGCTGAACAAGGCAGGAAGGGCTGATGTGAGATCATGCAAAGCATTCTCAGAATAGAAAAGCCACAATAGCAGAACTAAAACCTCAGCTTGGCAACGGGCAGGCTTGGTACTAGCCAGATGAGGATGCTGATCTGCCCCAAAAGATAAGCATGTGAAAGACCCTCAAAAGCAAAGGAACTTAGTAACTCCAAGGCATCACCTTCCTGTTAGCAGGTGAACCAACCGATCTAAATGCTTGACCTCTGGGAATATAGGAGAGGTGCTTCCATAAAGAATGTGCCACAATGTAAAGCTGCACCCTGAGCTATGCCTTCTCAGTACAGCTCTGCTCTTCCCATTTTCTAGATGAAGTTAGTTAGGGTTAGGGAAGTTAGCTCTTTCCACATACAGCTTCCCAAAGCAAGGCACGCAGAGAAGGCATAGAAGGAAGAGAAGCTAAGGGACCATGTTGCATTGCTGGATTTCTCAGTGTAGTTGTCACTGTTCCAGAAAGGAAACAGGAAGACAGTGCATACAGGAGTGAAGACAAGTGGAGGGACGCATTTACAACCTGCTGTAGCAATCCAGCATACATTCAGGGCTGTTAAATTTCTGCACTCTCTCTAGCAGTCATTGCACCTAGGCTGGTATGGAGGGCTCCATCACCATATGTAACTCTTCATTTAGGAAAGGTTTCAGGGGGAACATTCTTCTGTAAAGGAGAGGTACCCTAATCAAAAAGGACAATGCAAATATTTCCAGCTGGGGCCTGTGGATTGAGATCCAGCCACAGGACTCTTCTCATTGAGGTCAGCAGGCACAGAAAAAGCAGAAGGCAAAGCATGGCTACATTTAGTCACCCCTTTGCAGCCACCTCCAGGGACATTCCAAGACCCTTAAGTCACATACCTCTGTAGTGCTCCATCCGAGTGTGATGAGTGATACCTTGCGATCGAAAGCTTAGGCTCAAGATGTAACGAGGGTCAGAGCTGTCTCGTACCAGGAAGGACCCATCTGGCTTCCCTTTCAGCTTTATCTCTGCATCTTCCCAGTTCATCGGTCCCCAGTACCATCCACACTGCCAAAAGAGGACCAGAACATCACTGGACTTCTGATAAGATACAAAACACTTGCCTATCATATTGCTTCCCCTTTCATAGCATCAGTGCTCCCAGAAAGAATTAAGAAAGTTCAACACTGCTTTTGCCCATAGTGACAGACAAGGCAGCGACATTTCCTCTGCAGGGTGATTTTTTCCATCCCAAAAGGTGCAATCTGTCATATTTGTTAATCACACTATGAAACCAATCTGAAGCTGACAAGGGTCTTCAGTGACAAGTTCCTTCTCCAGCCCGTTACAAAGAAGCCAGCTTAGACAGGACAAACAGTCACCAAAAATAAGATAGCTACATCTCACAACTACACAACTCTTCTCTCTGTTCTGGCAGTTAAACCAGTTTCACCCCCCACCCAGGAAAGACAAAATCACAATAGGTCACTGTCCTCAGTCAGGGATATCACTGTGCTACCAGACTAAGTGAGATACCACACTGCTGCAGTCTACATCTAGAGCCCTGCACCTACAGGGGATTGAGAGTTGGGGTATTTATTGTTGGAAGAAAGAAAGGGTGGAATGAAGTTTGTATTTCCTACCCCCACTCTCCCCAACTCCAGGTCTGTAAAGGGAGAATTAAGGAAGCCCCATTCAAAAAAAAGGGGTGGCGTGGTGGGGAGCTTTTCCCAGAGTTAACTCACAGCAGAGAGCCTTTGCTCAACAGGGGTTTTTAAGAAGAACCATAGAACTGGCAATGTGAACCTCTTACTTTTTCCAGTTCTCGCAAGCTGGCTGCAAAGCTACTTGAGTCTGGTCGGTAGAGGGGGCACTGAAGATGCTGGGAGGGCTGGCTGGGCACTGCCTCCATCGGTCGGAGTGGGACAATCCGCGGAAACGCATCTGCAGGGGAACAAATAAACAAGTACCATGCAACTGTTACCAGTAGGGGCCATCTCCAAAGAACAGTGTGCTACACTTCCCAAGCAGGCCCTCAACTCTCGAGGACAATACAGGGGTAGCAGAGCTGCAGCAGGGAATAGAAAGCTGTGCTAAGTGATGGCGTCCTTGAGAAGGACACAGCAAGAGTCACTGTCCAGCTTTCCTAAGAAGACTAATCCAGTGTCTACTGGCTATTTCCTTACATCAGCTGGGAAGAAGTCAATAGAAAACCTTATACTTTTCTACCTTTTTGTATTTTTTTTTTTATTATTATTATTTTTTTTAACAAAGCAGCTAAAAAGTGAGGTCAAAGCAGCTGAGGCTCAAGATCTGACAGCTTAAAAAAATTAAACCCAGAGGACAGGAAATTAAAGATTAAATGTTATTGCCCTGTAAGTGCACAACCCCAGAAGTGACTTATGACAGTGTGTAGAAACAGGCTCCCTAGTCTCAATAGCTCTCCTGCGTTAAGCCCTATTCCCATAACAGTGCTGAAGTTGCTGACACTAGTTGACAAGATTCTAGTCATCGCACAAGTCAGAGAGGGAGGGCGCCACTTAGACCATGTCATCAAACCTTCAGCCACCACAGGGCAGGGCTGTATAGTCTAGTTCTGCTGAAGCTAAGGGAGGGAGTGGATAAGACCTGATATCTGTCAAACCTAAATGCTTATTCTGTAAGACTGTTCTAAGGAGCAAAGTCTGACACACAACATGTAAAAAGAGGTCATTTAAAAAGGACAAGGAACAAAGCTATGCCTTTGTGTACAGCACAATAGGTAAGAGACCAGCTTGGTTATGCATAACTTGAACAGGTCAGAGGAAGCAGCACCCAAGACTTGCCATGGGTCTTTGAGACAATCTAACCTTAAGTTTACAATATAAGAAATTAGTCTAGATCTCTGAAAAAATGGAGCCTTGCTGCTAAAGCTAAGCTGACCTGGGGCATGGGGTGGAGGAGGCGGAGGCAGAGGGAAAGACTGCAGGGAAGACCCCATCGGACCCACTAGGACAGATGTAGGCAGCGTCCCACTGATATCATCTAGAAAAGAACAGAAGCAAGAAAGATTCAGAACACAGGAAAGCAAGCAAGCTGCTACACTGCCAAGTGCCTGCCAGCAGAGCAACAGCATGTCCAGCCTGCAGAAGAATGGCACGGCAGCAGACAAATCACAATCTTTCACTGGCTGCCCTAAGAGCAGGTATTGGACAAACGCTCTGAACTTCCAAGTCTTCACTGTACCTGGACTCACACCTCTCACTCACTCACACTTGCATTCTGCTCCTGCAAATGAAGAAGTTAATCTCTAAATCAAATCATTTCAGAAGATGGTATGTAAGACAAGACAAATATAGACACAGGCTTCCTGAAGCCACGTGCCAGCCCAGCATGCAGCCACATGCAGGGTCTACACATCTGAGTTGTGGCCTCTGAAGCCAGCAACAGCAGGGGAATGATGTTCAGTTAGCACACTACACCTGGAAGAAAGAATCCATCTCACCAACCCTCTGCTCCAGCTGATTTAGAGCAGCACTGGAACCCATTTTCCACATAGGAAGTTGGGGTCACCCCACTGTAAAGGATGTCAAGAAGCCTGCCTCCTGCCCCCCAAAAAAGAAAGAAAGAAAAAAAAAAAAATCAAGCCACCCCTACCACTTGCACTACAGACATGTGACCGCGAAGGGTGCTCTTTAGGGAGGCACATGTAGTACCTAGCAGGCTGAGGCTTCTTCGCGGCGGAGGTGGAGGAGTCGGAGGGTGAGGAGAGGTCAGTCCTCGCTGAGAGATGTCCACATCCACTAGTGACACAGTTTCACCTGAGGGATTTGTGGAGCAAGACCGTTAGAGTTCAAGCTTTCTCCAAGAGCAAGAAAGAGTAAGAAAAAGGTCAGGCAGCAAGAAGCTGAGTTGGCCTCCAAGCTGTTCTGAAGGTTACCACCTTCCACACAGGTCAGAGGCCTCCACTGCAATCTCATTATAGTGCCTGCAAATTGAGTTTCCACCATGCACATTGATCAGCTCTGACATGACAGCCCAAAGGCCAAGCTCTAAATAACAGTTAAGAGTGAGCAAATAGGAAATATTGATGGGCTACTGAACCAACTCAGACTCAGCATCAAGAGGATGGTCTAAGGAAAGGGACTGGAGGGGCTTTCGAAATGCTCTTTGCTGCATTATATTGGTACTTACCAAAGCACCATAAGCATGTGCATTTCAGAGATTCCTGCATGTCCCCTTACAAGGAGAGACTCCAAGAGCTAAAGCCACATCTGACAAAAGTCACATTTGGAATCTAAAACCCACTAGTGCCTTTTGATATAAAAAATATTCTCCAAATGCTCCTCAAGTGGAGGAAGGTTGGTAGCATGTTATTGGCTGCTTTGGGACCACTCTCCCCACTCAGGCTCAGGAGCTATAGTAGGAATTGTTGATGCCTACAATTGCTCAGTTCAGATGCTAATTACAAAAGCCTCCCCTAAAGTTTTGCTTAGCTTTTGTGGTCAGGAAGTGGTTGACCAGACAGATCTGCACATAGGTAGGCAGCACCTGATGCTGTGATGCTGAAAAGACTACAGTCCCATTAGCTTCAATGCAAACCTGTCTACTAGCAGCCTGCAGGCTCAACAAAGTTTAGGTTAAATGCTTTGTTACTACAGCAAAGCAACCCTTAAAGTCAGTCTAGTGTAAAAACCAGAGGCTAATTACAGGGAGCTGGGCCAACTTTTTGGTTCACCAGCCTCCACATGCCCAGGTCCCAAAAGACCTGGAGCTACACTGATTACTGAAAAAAAATTGTAACCAGTCCCCTTTTACATTTAACAAAATGTTTCAAAGTCACAAGAACATGTCAAAGCTCAGTTACTAAGGACTAAACTGCAAACTGATTACCGAGGCTAGGCTGCTAATTTGGTTCTGATTAGATATTTTTCTCCTTTCTAAAGAAAATCTTTAAAAACAAAAGTTTTCATCACTTCTAAAAAGAATTAAGGAGCTAAATTGTTGCCACAATTGAAACATTTTGCTTAAGTCAAACCAACATGCAACTTGGAGCTGGTAAAATATCAAGACTGAAACTAGAGTTATCTAGTTCTGGACCACAACTTCAAAAGACAACTGAAGCTCACTTCCTTAGATTTCAATTCTTGTGGGGCCTATCTGAAAACAATCATCCTCCAGATACCACACTACTGACAACCGGAAGTCTGACAGCTTTTGTTTACCAGAAACTATAGACTGCCAATAAAACCCCCTCAGGATTTTTAAAGACAGAACAAGCAGCACCCCACTTACTAAATTTAGGAAAGATACAAAAGGGGAACCTTTCCCCCCATCTTTGCACACTCCACACACAAAAACACTTTAACTTCTACACCCTACTTAAAAAAGCTGATTTAGGCTGAGACTTCTCCAAACACCAAACAGAATTAAAAACTCTCTCATTTGCACAGACAAACAAAATACAACTGCAGTGAAGGGACCAAGCACATCCTGCCGGCTTTGTGCTTCTCACTGATATACACAAGACTGATCAAAGGCTGGAGCAACCATGGTTGAATGAACCAGCCTTGGGGAGTGGGGCACGTCAGTCCTCCTACACATGGCTCGCCAACCTGGCCTACCTCAGCCTTATTGAGTTGAATTACTTTGCTCACTCTGCCCAGGACCTCCTTCCAAGGCCTTCAGGAAAACCAGGTGTGACATCATGCAAGTTGGTGCAATCAGTTTTTAATGATGACCTCCAACCATCACGTTACGGGTTAGGGGAAAGTCCCATTTAAAAAATAGCTTCTGGTTTGCATACTCGATACTGGTGTTAGTGACCCACAAAAGCAAATATAAAAATCCAGACATGAGACTACTTTGAAGTGTCATCTCAACACCTTCTTAGTTGGCTGATTTAATTTAGATTTTCTGTGAACTGGTGACAAAACCCTACAAAAATAGCAAGGGGAGGGGGGAAGAACATGACAGGACACACACGCCCTTTATAAAACCCAGAGTCATTCATCAACAAAACTGAAGACAAATTTAAATAGTTTCCATTTTCCCAAGAGAAACAAGAGAAGAAAGAAGTTACTTGAAAACAATTTAAGAAATAACTTAGACCAACACGGCTACACCCTACACCCCAAAAATAACTCTGGCATTTACGTAAGATCTCTAATCACTCACTCACTCTCACAGCAAATATTCTGATTCTCTAACAACAGCTGAAGAGGGTGACAGAAGTTTTGGCTTTGGCCATGCTTGATTTAAAAAAAATGAATGCAGACTACACACATCCATGGCAAGCAAGGCAAGGTAAAAAATGCAGCAAGTCTCTACTGCTACCACAGGCTGAAAATGCCTACTCAGGAAAGTCCAAGATCATAAGGGAGCAGAGAATAGCAAGCACTACAGTTTGAGTGCTCCCCCAATCCTTCAGTTTCTGGCAGTAGCTCCCGTGATTCTCACAGAATCAAAGGATGGCTGGGGAGGGAGCAGAATTATTCATTTACAGGTCTCAGACAAAGTCAAAAGAATGACCTTCAATGCAGACAAGTCTCTGCAAAGAGCCTTCACTGCTCACCACAAAGAGCAGCTTGAACCACAGTAAGGGGCTAGAATGTGGAAATGCTGCCCTTCCAAATGTTACTGGGATCTCTCTCCGCTGTGGCATCTGTGCTCCAGACACAAAGCCATACATACTAGCAAGGGCAGACTTTCAAACCAACCAAGTGGGCATTTCCATCTGTTCATTACAGCATTACTTAAGTCAGGACTGTTCAACTGAGACAGATTCGTGTGCAGCCCCTAGGCTCCCAGCCAGTCGCTACCACCTCCAATGCTGTGGCCCCCAGGGTCTCTCAGGCAGGGAAGCATAGCTGAAGGTCCAATGAGCTTGTCGCTCACGCACCAGCAGCATGGTGGGGGTGGGAAATCACCCATGCAGGGTTGGCAGCAGGATGGGGCTTGTGTGGCCACAGTGGTAGGTGGGTCTGATCCTAAGGAGCCCATGGAGCCCCCACAGCATCCAGCCCACAGCGTGCAGCACAAGGCCCATGACCTGTACAAGATGCAGTGCCAGGTGGCTCTTATGTTGGACAGTCCTGACCTAAGTGTATCCTGATCCCTGTACCAAGAACAGTCAGGACATACAAGAAGCCCTTTGTATTTATGCTGAATCTGATCTCACTACTGTATCTCACCCCGACACACACTTCAAGCTGCAATGCCCCAGGTGTAGTCTAAATGGTACAAACCAGCCAACTTGCTGTATTCCACTATACAGTGCAACACAGCATCCAGCTGCCTGTAACAGTGTCAGTGACAGTAATATGTCAGAGGGAGAGAGGATGTCTTTCACACAGGACAGTCCCACACAGGAATCCTACCTTTCCCCTTCTAAAGAGTCGCAGCTTTCAGCAGAGAGCAACTCCATCCCCACCCAAGCAATGAGACAGTCAGGTACCACAGCACACCCCTCTCCTGAGAAGCCCTGATGCTGGCGTTAGCTGTGCAGAGCAACCAAGTACAGTCACTTCCACTCCAAGCTTTTATGGACAGAAACCACTGCAATTACAGTCCCTGGAACAACAGGGCCCCCACTCATGACAGAAGCTCTTTAGTACATCCACTGTCCTTATATACTACAAACTAGAGCAGAACACGCCCTCTGCTATTAAACCCACAGCAACCCACAACAGAGAAGAAGAGCAGTAGGTATTTCCTGGGAGGCAGAGAGGGGTTCTGAGAGGAACTGAAGATTGGAGTCCAGCTTCATCACACATTTCTACTGATGTAGCTACACCATGTAAAACCCCGGTGGAAAACAGAGTTAGCCGTCATGTGTTTTAAACACCTCCCCATTCCAAACAAGAGAGAACATGACAGTGTATATGCACAGGGGCACGCTACAAAATGCAGCATTTCCAGCTCATCTTTCAATCCTTACCTGTGAAGAGGGGGCTGAAAGCGGCCGGAGAAAAGGCACTTTGAGTTCTCGTCAATCTGGGTTTCCTATTGAAAAAAGAGAGACAAACTGAATGAAGACGCAGATGTAGCAGTGAGTCTCCTCCCCAACATTCCCCATGAGTTTAAAAAAAAAAATTGCTCAGTTTGACCTTGTGAGAAGTCTGCAGGTCCCTAGCTACTGCATTTGCAACTAAGTTTAAGACCAAGAGGAAGCACACAAATACTAAACAATTTCTAGAGCAGTATTTTGGCTTCAGTACAGCAACTGACACAGAGGGCAGGGCCCCAGTCTTCAAACCCCATAAGGCTCTAAGCTGATAATTAGCAAGTTCATTTCAGAAAGACAAAACAAAAAAAGAAGGTTGGAGCCCAGACTCCAACTTGAGCCAAGAAACCTGGCTCAGAACTGACAGTACCATAATGTGCTATGTCACTAGGCTGGCCACAACAGCTAAACAAGAAAGCATAGCTCACAGTCGCACACAGCTCCAGATTACAGGTGTACTGCAGGCAGGTTAAATCCACACTCACACCCACTTTCTCAAAGCTAGAGATATGCAACCTCTTGAGGAAGGCTTAGAAGTTATGTGCACTGCAGAGGAGCTACCTCTTATCCCATTGAGCTAAGGCTGTGCTTCTCAACCTTTTTAGACTCAAGGCGCCCCTCCAAAAACCTTTCAAAATTCAGAAGCAGCCCATTTACAAAGACTAATATAAATGCATTATGAATGTTATAATATCAACATTACAATTATATTACTAAATAGTACGTTATTAATTGATCAGATAATTATGTTATATTCACCCCACTGCCACAGCCAGAGAGAAGTGCTGTGTGCTTCCCCCAGAGCCAAATAAGGAAGTGGCTGTGGCAGGATCACATGCATGGTCTTGCTACATACAGCCCTTCCCAGTCCAACTCTGCACAGTGTCTCCCAGAAACAAGGGCTGCAGGGCAGGGGGAACTGTCCTATATGCCTCTTTTCAGGAGGCACCCTGGAGCCAAACTGAGAAGCAGCTGAAGGAAAAAGCCACACCTGCCTGCATTATATTCTGCAGACAGGCTCATTGCTTCTGCCATAGCTCTTCCTGGCTCAGCTCTGGTGTGCCTGCTGGAAACAAAGGCATGCAGGGCAATTTTACCCCACAACAGCGCCAATATTGCAGCCCCTCCAATTGAGGGCTACTGAGCTAAAGCACACCACCAGTGAGGTTACCCACATCTGCAGGCCAAGCTCCCAAACACTTGGACATGATCCACTATTTAGAGATGCTACCTGCAGAGCACCCAGCCACTCAGGCATCTCTGCACTGCTAATGCTGACATCAGCATTTCAAGTCCCTAAGCCAGTTGGCTGGCCCAGCCTCACAGGAAGGCACTTGTTGTCCCAGGATACTACATGAAGAAGCCACTCTGTTTAGGGTTTGGTTTGCAGAAGCTGAGTTTCATGCTAGGAGGCCATTAGGTACAAGCTTCCTGTTTTGGATAGAGCAGCACATGGCTGCCAGAAGCTCAGCTGAAAGTGTTTCCAGATTGGCCAAGCTTAAATGCAAGATCTGACCCCACATGTTCCATAGGCCTCTCAGCAGGGGTCATTTTACAGGGGCAGTTCAGCAGTACGTACAGCAAGTCAGGACCACAGCCTTGTCTTCTAACAAGGATCGCTCCCACTGCTAACCCTCCCAAGCTCTTTCCCTCCACCCCCCACCACTAAGAGAGAAGTCAAATGTACCACTTTGCCATTGTCCACCCAGGCATGCAAGCAGATTACTTAACACCAAGTATCACAACCTGATAGTAATCTCAAAAATGTCACTTCATGCAGCCTTGCAACACTGCTGTGAAGATTTACCAAGCCTGACAAACTCTACTCCTGCACCCTTGCCATGAGAAAAAAAAGCCAGATTATACCTTCCCATCAGCAAGCACAGGGCTGACTTGGTTCCCCAGGAGCCTTCTTCTCAGCCTTGCAAAGAGCAACCATTACAGAATTTAAGTCCACAGCAGTGTTTGAACTTCAAGCTACCTTGCCCCATAACTAGCCTCCCAAAAAGCCAGACAGTACTTCAGATAAGAGAGAGGAGTCCTAGTTCCAAGCCAATTTTGTGAAGGGTTTCGCTGATCATGTGCAACTTCTCTGTTCCAGGAACATGGGCAAATCTGCACTCCTGTTTCCTACCACCTGGTATTAAAATTCACAGGAGTGCAAAATGTGTGGGTGTACCCTACCTCTTCTATAGGAGAATTTCCATTCTCATCAATCCTGCTGGCATTACACAGGTGCAAAGGAAGTGGTTAGTGCTGTATTTCTTCAAATAAGGACTGTACTGAGAAAAACCCTGCCACAAATTCTGATCATTTTTATCACATCACACAAAACAGGTTGTTCTACTCTGAAACCTGAGACCAAGCCCTTAAGGGGCTTTTTATTTGTATTCCTAAAGGAAGAACATAGCATTATAACCCCCTACCCACACATTTGTGGCTTGCTAACAACTTATAGGGTTACCCTGATTTTTTTGCTCCCACACAACTGCAGGGATCAGGCTTTTTTGCATAGCTAGGCCATTATTAAAACAAGTTATATTTTCAGATCTGCAATCTACAGCAACAAAGGTGGGGGGGAATTCACACACAACTCATGTATTCTCACTTCTATCAAGTGGGGTCACAGCCAGAAATAATTCACATGGATTAGATTTGCTGTGTTTCAGATCCAAATGGTCTCTTCCAAGAAGTCTTTCAATCCTGGCACAACAAATACTGCTAAATTAAGTTGGGAAGTAGGAATGGTGATGAGGTGCAGGTGACACCTTAGCACTGCTGCGTTAATTTGGCTTAACACTACAGACAATGCCCTAGGGCAGCAGTCCGCAACCTTTTAAGGCTGAGTCACTCTGGCCCACAGTTTGGGTCAGCAGGCTGGCAAGTGAGCGCTAGGACACAGCTGCCACTTCTCCCTGCTGCCGCCACATGGAAAGTGTCCACTGCCAGCACTTTTCCCTGCGCCAGCTCAGGGAAGACAACTGCTGCTGGAGCTCCCCACTGCCCAACACCACCAGAGCCCCAAATCCACAGGCCAGATCCAGCCTGCAGGCCATAGGTTGCCAGCTCCTCTTCTGTATGTGGACACTATGCTGGATGTGTCAGTTGCTAAAGGCACACATAGCACAAGCATGTAGCAAAAATAACAACAATCAGCCATATCAAGACAAAGCTAAGATAAGGATGTGTTTAAAGTGGTAAAGAACTAAGCAGTTCAACCACAGCTAAGGCACAAGCCCCAAAGAGCCACTTGTCCTGGAGTATGTTAGCTGGCTCCACTTCAATGCCTCTTTTCCAGTTGCCATTCTGGCAATTCCCTCAAGATGAACCAAAATTGCAAGCAGCTTACTGGCTTTGAGGAAAGCCCTGGCCAGGCATCCTGTAGGTGAGCCCTAAGACTTGCCTGTGACTCTTCACAGGCTGCCATCTGCTGAAGTGGACAAGCACTTGCCTGCATAAACCCATGGGCAGAATCATGGGCCTCAACCAGGCCCTCTAACCTGAGAGGCAGAGGGACACAGCTGCTTTGGAAAATAACTCCCATGATACAGGATTTCAAACCTCAAATGCCAAGGGGCCCAGAGGCGGGAAACACTGCCATGGGTATATCTCCCTTTAGTCTGCCTCTATACTGGCTCATCAAAACCAGCTATTGATCTTAGAGAATGGGGTCAGCCTCCTTCCTCACTTCTACTGTGCTTGCTAAGCCAAGCTGTGGTGCGCTGCCTCGAGGAGCCTCAAATGCTAAGGGAACTCTGCCCGGCAACTTCAAATACAGGAGATTCTGCTTAGCTGTAGTGTTTAAAGCAGAGACTCTGTAACGAGCAAACACCCTCTGCAGCAGGATGATGAAGTGCTACTTCATGTCAATCAGAGTAGGAATGATTTAGGAAGGGTGGAGGGAGGAAGGGACTCTGAGTCAGATATCCCAACATGAATATGCTCAGCAATATGCCCGGGAGTAGATGCCATCGATTACACGACAAGTCAGCTTTGAGCTCACTGAAGCAGCCATCCCTTTTGGCAGAAGCAGCTTCACCCAATCCCAGAGCCAGTTTTCTTGAAAGAACTAATTTCCCCCCCTACCAAAGCTGTGAGTAACCATAGGACTGGTTTGAAGTAACAGTGCCAGTATTATTTTTAACCTGCTTGTCTACCCCCGCATTTTAGCAGCAGTTAGGAAAGCGAGTTGCAGTTTTAGCTTGCATTGGCCAGTTGAGGAAAACTCTCGGGGAATGTATGGTGCATCTCAATCAACTGTGTGCATTGGAACCGTGACTAAAATCATGACCACCTTTTCTGCAGGGGAGAAGAGCCAAGATCCAGCCAACTGTATAGCCTACCTCTGACCAGGTAACAAGAGTGCCAGGCTTCCTGGGAAGGGTGACCAAGAACAGCAGTATGAGGGGTAGGGGGAGGGAACTGATATTCCAAAAGAGTGCCCAGCACATTCTACCTCACATTCATCCAGCTTGGGAAGAAAGAGGGAAAATACCAAGCTATCACTGGGAGAGCAGGCAAGAATCAGAGGAGGAAGGGTTGGCACAGCAAGGGGGTGCCAACAGATAAGACGACTGCTTTTGAGGAGTTGTCTTGCTCCTCAAAGCACCAGAACAGATTGCTCAGGCAAAGCTGCAGCCCACCAGTCTCAGATGCCCTTCTTTATTAACTGAACACTAATGCCAAGCTATAGGAGCCCGTGGCAGATGCTCTACCACCATATTACCTTCTGCATACAGCAAGATACAGGTGTCATGCAGCCCCCAATCACATACAACACAAGGAGAGACCCTTAAAAGTGTCTGTAGAAGCCACAGTTTGAGAAGCCATCTGGACCTTGAAGGAGAGAGGCCCAAAGAAGCCGCAGGCAACAGAGATGAGTCCCTAAGCCACTACAGTAGCTACATTCAGTATCCTGAGCCAGCCTTCATTAAAATGGTGCCTAATTAGTGCAAGAGAACACCATGTAAAAGCTGGGACTTGCAGGAGCAGTGACCATTAAATTCCTCTACAAAAGGTAAAATGCACATGGCAACACGTTCCTTTCTGCTCTGAATCTGTTAAGACGTAACTGCCAATTTCACACCACCTTATTTCAGTGCACTGAAATCCTAGAGGCTCCCAAGTCTTGTCAACACCAAAAGTAAGGAGCAAGGAAACCAGACGTACATTAGCAAAATATTATGTCATTACAGGCCACTTGAATCTCTTTGCCATTTGAGGCATGTTTAATCATGTGGCAAATGCAGCTCATAACCCACTGTAGAAAGCAGCTTCCATGTACCACATGCACAACCCCCAAGCCTCATCACAGGAGTGCATTAACTGTGCTTATGGCTCAAACACACTGACCTGCATTAAGTGATAACAAGCTGACACTGTGATTTAGCTCAGGAGTTCAGGCAGCTCTATGATCTCTAAGTTTAACTCATACAAACCCTTCTAAAGAAGGGGACAATCATTACAACCTCTTTGCCTACATCAGGCTGAGCTAGAGTTCAGGCCTACTGGCATCATAGTTACAACAAACTGGGACTTCAGGCTAAGGGTTACTATTTCCAAAGTAATGATTAAGGTACCTTCTTGCTCATTTACTGCAGTCCTTAAACCATACTTTAAGTGACTCCATCTCTCCTCCCTACATTAAGCTAATCAAGCCTGTAGTAGGGCAAGGATCAGACTGCTACTCCTGGAGTCCATTCAATTATTAATGCTGCTTCTGGCCTGACCAGAAACAGTCACTTGAGCCTTCACCAAGATGCTCCCTGCCTCCCCCACCAAAGAGGAGCAGTGTTACCACCACCGCTCTCCCAGATTCAGAAACAGTGCCGCAGACCCCCAGCTTCAGAAATAGTACCACAGACCCCAAAAGGAAATGAATGCTCCGGAAGACAGCTGTACCCCTACTGTTCCACAGATAAGGAACCTAACAGCTCCCTGCTCCCAGATGTGCATCCAGGATTGAGACTTTCCAGGTGCTGCTCCCAAAGACACATGAAGGAAGTGTACCCCTGTTCCCACTACATTTCAGATACCCGAACTGCACTGCCAGAGCATGGCTTGAATGGTGAGACTCAGCACAGGGACAGAGCCCACAGCACCTACTACGCTAACCCATGCCCTCTGCGGTGTGGCCAGCACCCCTCAGTGCCAAACTGCCTGCCCAGGAAGCGGTCAACACCAGCCACCTCCTTCTGCCTAGGAACAGAAGTGTATCCTGGCAGCCTCCCGTCACAAGCTTTCGCTGCAACGCCTTGTCCCAAGACTTGCCAGCCACGCACTCGCCTTGTACCTTGACAGCAGACCAGACTACGGCACATGCCCTCGGTGCCCTCATTCTGCCTCCGCAATGGGGGAACAACCCCAGGGCAACGCACTTACCCTGTGCCAGGGGGACAAGCCAGTGCCTGCTCCAGCTCTGCCTCACACCTGGTCACCTGCAGCACCTAACGCAGGCCCTGGCTTCGTATGTGCCTGGCCCTCACAACGCTCTTTACTCCCGGTGGCTCTGCACCAAGGGCTGTAAGGCATCCCAGCCCCTTCCAGCCTGCCAGGGGGCTCCCACGCTCTGTGCCCCTGCAACATCCCAGAGCCTGCCCCGCTCCAACCAGCCCAGGGACTTCCTGCCCTCTCCCAGGGCCCTGGGGACACCCAGTTACCTGCCCGCATCGTGCTCCCGGCCCCTGGCGCTGGACACATCAGTGAGGCTCCCGGCTGAGGTGGGCAGCTCCCCTGAGCGCCTCCTGTCAGCAGCTGCAGCAGCAGCTGCGGCAGGGTCGCTGCAGCTTTTGGTGCGGAAGAGGCGGCTGAGGCGGATTTTTAGAGACCCCCGGCGGGGCCCGCCTCCCGCCCCCATGCCTGGCGGCGGGCGGCTCACAGGCCTCCCCCCTGGGGCAGACACCAGGGGCTGCGGCTCGGTGGGTGCCCGGGCAGGGCTCGCCGGGTCGTCCTCGGAGCAGCTGCCAGCCTCGTCGGGCTCCAGCGCCTCCAGCACCAGCAGCGCGTCGCTGGTCTCCTCGGCCGCGGGGGCGGGTAGCAGGCAGGGGCAGGGGCCGGGGCACGGGCTCTTCTTGCCGCCCGGCTGCAGCTCCAGCGCCGCCAGCTGCAGCTCCAGGCCGGCCCAGCGTGGCCGCCCCTCC